CTCTTTAAATATTAGCTTACTCTATCTAGAAACAGCAGGGAAGATCTCAAGTTACAAATTAACAAAAATCACCTCATAGAAAGTTCTTAAAAGGGAACGACTTTTGGAAGTATTCTCTAAAATTCTCTTCTAAAGATAAACGAAAGCACTAAAATAAGAAACTAGTGTAATATTTTTTAAGTAGGCTGCTTTAAGTTAAAGGCAGTAATGCCAACGATGACCTCTGAAATAAAACAATAGACACCAATGAGACAATTCCATGTGTCAGAGAAAAAAATAAATGTAAGCATTCCTTCTGTTAGAACTGACTACACAGAAAAAACACCTGGCAATGCCAACAGAGCTTTTTTTCCTCAACCTCAACTTCTGGCATGGAAGATGGAAAGGAAATTGTTCCCTCAATGCATGAAAAACTTGGCTAAATCAGTCAGCAATACTGAACAGGACAACTTCCTTGAACAGAACAACTTCCTTGGTTCTTCAACTTTATGCAGCAATAATTCTCACTTCAATTTCCATTTTTAGTGCAATATGCTGAGAATAAAAAACGGGGAAATGGTAGATTGTTATAAGATACATCAGGCATAAAAGGTTATTACAAACAGATTAGTCCAGGATGGAAATGACACAGGCTAAGCAGGAGGCATGGATAATCTGGGTAAGTGCCATGGAAAAATAAATATCATGATTGGACTTAAAGCAAATGGAAGCAGTTCAAATTGGCTTCCTCCAATTCACTGTAGAACATGTGATGCCCACATGTCCATTTCCAACAAACCTCATCATAAAATAACAAAGGCCAATACTGTGAAGTGTTGAAAAATGCATCTACCACCAGCTTCTTCTCTTCTTCCATACCGTAGCAACATGAATTATTGCAGCTGCCTGATAAGCATGAAAGAGTTTTGTTTTTTTTCTTTTTAAAGTGAGCTACCAGCATTCATCTGAAATGCTCTATCCTGTCACTAAGTGTTGACCTTGCAAAGAAGAGCAAATTTTATAAAATGCAGGCTGCAGTTTTACTGTTGGTCTACATGGATCAGCACAGAGCTGTGGCCAAAAGCATCAGCTCCACTCCAAACACTTCCCCCGTCCATCTGTGTGCTCCTCCATCTCCTCTTGCTCAGTTCCAGCAGGTTCATGTTTTAGATCATTTACTTTGTCAAACTCCTTGTTGAGGCCTCAAAAATGCCAGTGTTTGCTCACAGAAAGGTCAGCAGGAGCTCCTGGTAAGGGCTAGGCTGTGCCTATAAGCAGCAGCCCACGCCTTAATTGCCTTAAACTGATAATGAAAATCACAGCCTCATAGGAGTAAGTGAATATAAAGAAAATACATATGATATGGGTGGTCTTAGAGAAAGGATCTCAAAAGCTGCCATTCTTAATGTTTAAAATTAGTTTAATGGCAAAGTGCTGTTAATCTATTTGTTAACACAGACAAATATCAGCAGTGGGTAGACTGTGATCAAGTTACAAACTTCACAGCTTAGATGATCTTCCACCAAAACCACCTCCCTTATACGGCAGATTTGAGACCACAGCTTAACAGGCGAACACAAGACATTTCAAAAGCCCTTTACAAAATTCCATCAAAAAGCACGACAACTCCTTTAGAAAAACTGTTAATCTCTGCGTTTTCCTTACATAAAATAAATAAAAATTTTAAAAGGCCTCTAGAAACAAACAGATAATAGGGACAGATATCATGAAGTCACTGGAGGGGATATTTAGAGGTCATCTAGTCCAACTACCCTGCAATAAGCAGGGATACCTACAGCTAGATCTGGTTGCTAGATCCAGCCTGACCCTGAATGTCTTCACAGATGGGGATTCCACCACCCCCCTGGGCAACCTGCTCCAGTGCCTCACTACCATCACCACAAAAAACTTTGTACCTTTGTACAGATCTGCATACATACTTCAGTCCTTTTGTGACACAAGAGCACAGCTGTTGAAGATGAGCAATGAAAGTCCAGAGCAGGAGCTCAAGTCTTGCTCTAGAATCACACAGAAGCCCTCTTTAATTAACTCCCCTATAATTTTCAGAACCGCTCATCCCAGCAGGGCAATCAAAGGTAGATGCACACACTGTTAGTCTGATTAACAGTGCTCATTAAGCTGACTAGTGCAATCAGCCAATGAGCTTTTAGTCCTGCTGAACAGGTAAACTTATCTAGCTTTGAGTCATTTTTATACTTAACAACAAATTCACTACTTCTAATGGCTGTACCACCATGTTTTCACAGAATCATAGAATGGGCTGGGTTGAAAAGGACCACAAAGATCATCCAGTTTCAACCCCCTGCTGTGTGCAGGGTCACCAACCACCAGACCAGGCTGCCCAGAGCCACATCCAGCCTGGCCTTGAATGCCTCCAGGGATGGGGCATCCACAACCTCCTTGGGCAACCTGTTCCAGTGTGTCGCCACCCTCTGGGTGGAAAACTTTCTCCTAATATCTAACCTAAACCTCCCCTGTCTCAGTTTAAGACCATTCCTCCTTGTCTTGTCACTATCCATGAGCATGCCTGTATGTTTTTTCCCTTTAAAACTGCTCCAAACTACTTGAGATTACTCTTTGTGGGACACTTGTCAGAGAAAACACAGAAGTTTCACTCCTCAACTTTAGCAAAGCACACCATGGTTACAGCACCACCAAAAGCACAAGACAGTTCTGACATCTAACATGCAAGGCATAATTCTTAAGTGGGTGAAGTATGAGAGCACTGGGCTAACCAATGGCCTTGATCTTTGAGCCGCAAACCACGTACGATAACTTCAGGTTACACTTAACTCAGATGCCTCAGAAACAAGTGAAGTAACACTTATGATACGTATGCAGACAATTAAGCTTAATGCGAAATACTTGAACAGAAAGAAAGTGATTTTTTTTTCCCACATCAAATTCCATTTTGCAACCCCCGCTTCTCATTCTTTCCCAGCTGAAACCAGCACAATTTTTCAGAGTAGCCAGAGTGTGGTTAAGCAGAGGAAGCTATGCTTGTTTGCATGGAATCTGCTATTTCCTCTCTGCCAAAACACTTGTTTAAAGAAGTCATGTAATATTTCTATTAAGCTGTAAATGCAGTTGACAAGGAAATGGCCTACTGGCAGCGCATTACCTTTGTGGCAGTGCCAGCCAGCCTACAGCAAAATAGTGCACATGATAATTTCAACATGCATTCCCAAGCAACAAAATTGTGCCTTACATAAATACCGCAGAACTCCAGCAACATCTAGAAAAAGCAATGAAAATTTGCCCAAGCTTTCATGCTTGCCTGTATCAATTCTGTGTCATAACTAAAACAAAGTAGGAAAGCATCTACATATGTCCAAATGTCCTGTGAAGCTGTATCATATGACGCTGGGAAAGCTATTGCAACTTAAATCTGTGTATTTCTTGTTAACCACTGTAACAACTCACTAATAAAAATTAAGAAAAACTCTAAGTATCAAATACACAAAAGAGTACTAACAGCATACAAAGCCCTTAAAACCATAACGTAATTTATTAACAAGAACATATGTTCAATGTAATCCAGAATTGTCGTGTTAAATTACTTTGGCCCTTGATAGCACTCATTTGATTACAAGAATTAAACAGATTCACAAGCCTTCAAACTCAAACAGTGACCTTTGATTTATAAGCAGCTATTGTCATGCTTATAAAATCCTTTCCGATAACACAGTCCTCACCTTTCAACAGCCAGTGCAACTACAGGCTATTTTGTTAAAATGAATTCAGACACAATGAAGACTACTTCAATCAAAGTACAATCGAGAAAACAGCATGACCAAATACAACTGAATTCTCATCAGTAGTTCTTCAAAACGTTTTTTTCACGTCACCTCATATTGAATTAAATTACCCATTAAAAACAAGCGGTAGAGATATTTATCTTGTTCTTCTCAGCTTTCTTCTGAGTATGTTCAGTTCAGACACTGATTTTAAAATAGCTAATTACCCAGAAAAAAGAAAGTGGAGCTAGAAAAATACAAAGTTTCATTTTCAAAATGATGTAATGCCTCCAAGCTGCAGAACACTCACTAGCTTTAATTGAACTGCACACAGAAAAAGCTTCAGGAAACATCTTGGCTCCAAAAAGCACAAACGAAAACCAAGAATCCAACAGAATTAAATACCCTTGAACTTGCATATGTGCTACCTTTCAGTAATCACATATGAACAGCACCTTCTCTCTGACGAGTACTTGCTTACTTAGATCAAGATCCTGATATGGAACAGAAGCAAAGTAAAACTGCATGCAATAATCTGGTATGTATGTTGTTTTTGCAGCAAAGCACAAAGATGAAAAAATTGCTTCTAAAAACATATAGTGCCTTTTTACTACCAAAGAGTTTTAGATATAAACAATCCAGGAATGGAGTATCTGTTGATGCCCAGTCGGTGTAGCGAGTCCACAGTTCATTTCAGAAAAGAAAACAGAAGTATGACTAACACTGGCAGCAGTCATCCATAGACAGTTTTCCCCATGAACTTCACAGAGCAATTCCTTTTAAGTGCTACTTCTCATATGGTGACTAATTGTATTTACATTTTATTTTGCAAGAAGTGTATTAATGCAGTAACATACTGTAAGAGCCAGTATAAATATAAACTGCCAAGGGTTACTAGCATTAACAGTGCCCACTTAGGACAATCCTAAATTCTTTCCCAGACATCTTTCAAATCAAAATTCCCTTAAGAAAGGAGAACGGCCTCTCAGTTTGGAACTCTGTAAGTACAGCTGCAGTCTGAAACAGGCTCTGTACGTTGCCTTAAGTCAATTAAGCAATTACTGCTTTTGATCTCTCTCACTCTAAAAATTTACAAATACACGTTAAAATACAAACTGCAGCAAGCAGGAAGCAAGACAGCAAATGAAAATCTTCTAAATTTTGTCCATGAATGCACAGTTTTATGATTCCCGTATTATTATTTTTTTCTTTTTCTTTTTTTTCCTGATACAACAACAATAAATTGCCCCCACACAGGCTTACCCTCATTGGATGAATATCAGCATAGGGAGGCTTTCCTTCAGCCATTTCTATTGAAGTGATACCAAGGGACCAGATGTCTGCCACACAGTTATAGCCAATCTCTTGTATTACTTCTGGAGCCATCCAAAATGGAGTTCCTATAACAGTATTACGTTTTGCCATTGTATCCTGTAATTATATTATTTATACAATTAAAATAGAGATGTTTATTTTCACAGATTCCTTTGATATTTATTCTATATTTAGAAATTAAATTAGCCACCCAAAGGTCAAACTGTAATAACTTCCAATTAAGACTAAACAGATTGAGGCCACCAGGTTTTAGAAGTCAGAGAGTTGTCACCTCAATCTCGATCATAAACCTTGAACAGAAGTTTAAAGTGAGATCAGCAAGCACTTGAAGTGCAGTAGGTTATAATAATAAACCACTAGAAACTAAATAATCTTGCAGTACATTAAATATTCATCATGATAAAGATTGTTAGCACCGTTAATTCCTCCTTGGACTCAAAATTCAAGGCAGAAGAGACTGTGTAAAACACAGTTAGAAGTAGTAAGCACTTTCAAATCACCTTTCCACAGGTACTTACTGTTAGCTGGCCAGCCACACCAAAATCAGCTAATTTTGCATGTCCTTCAGTGTTAAGAAGAATGTTTCCAGCCTTTATATCCCTATGTATTTTTCTCATAAAGTGCAAATATTCAAGTCCTTTAAGAGTAGATTTCAGAATAGTTGCAATTTCATCTTCCGTTAGCTACAAGAAAACAAAATCAATAACACTTTCAGGAATACACGTAGGTTAAATGCATAGAAATAGTCTATTTAAAATATGATCATTTCAGGTTTATTATATACAATGCAGACAATGTACATTAAGTATATGATTAAGAATATGCTGAATAGCATTTACAGTTCAAAAATCTTATCTAGTGACTTTATCCATATAGCCAGACTCCTGCACCTCTCAAATCCAACTCTAGCAAGCAAACTGCAAAATTAGTAAAGGGGCCCAATGATACAGTTCAGATTATGGATTATTCTCTTGCCTGTCAAAAATTATTACTCTTTAGATGTTGCCATCCTTCAGTCACAGATGTTGCCATCCTTCAGAACAGTCACAGTTTAGATAATATATAACAAAACATTTATTACTAAGGTCATAAATATTCCTTGCCAAGTTATGTATTACCTTAGTCAAAATGGTGCTCACCCCCACATGGATGGCACATAGCAGGATCCTTCCCTGCTTCCCAGCCCTTTGTCTGCTGCAGAGGGTCAGACCTGCTAAGAGCATTCATTGCCCAAACTTCCTCACACAGTTTGTACAACAGACCACCACAGTGCTTCATTTGGAAAAGGAGGAAAGGAATGCCACATATTCTTAGTTTCTCAAATTCCCACATGTGAAGTGACTGTTAAATCTGTTAGCACTAACAAGAATCTGCTTTTATCCATCAACAATTCCTAACTGCACCACTTGCAGCTTCTCACTGCTGACAACGTACAAATTAGAGAGAATGAACCCAAACAAGAACAAAGAAACACACAACAAAAAGCAAGGAATAAAGGTGAAAGTCTGTCCTTGAAAAAGGGGTTATTTTTAAGACTGGTCCCATCATGTTGTATGGGACTTAAGTAAACACTAATTTTTGAAAATAATTTGGTTCACTCTGCCTTTGCTTCATAGTGACACAAAGAACTACACCCATACAGATGTGCCCCTTTAAGCTTGTCAAAATCCTACTCAGCCTTGAAAATGGACAACTGAGATGTCAGGGCATTCAGATGCTAGAAGGTGCCAGTAACGACTATCACCTGTTCTTTTGATCCACAGACAATTACAGAAATGATTGGGAATGGATGCCAGCCAGATGCTTTGGGCTTTTTCTACTATCATTCTTCTTTCTTGTTGATGACTGATGCAGAAAATGAATGCTCCCTGAATTTCTGGGTACTTTTTCAATTATTTGTACTATTCAACAATTGCTAGATCACAATCTCACAGGAAAATATGATCAGAGTGAATACGTGGGTCTTCATTTCAGCTGCAAATACAGAATCTTTAGAATGTCTAAGAATGTTAATTATTTTACTGTCTATGCAAAGGTTTCCTTCGCACAGATAATCCACAGAAGTTATACTGCAATATAGCATGTTACTATAGCACTGCAAAACTGCATACCTGAACTGAGAGGAATCTACATAGCTGTAGCTGGCCCGTGATACACTTCATTAAATGATCCACATTTTAATGAACACAAGTATTTCTATGTGAAGATCATACAACACATCAGCCACAACTTTCAAAGTGCTCGCAGACTTAACCTTTGGTCTCCAAAAAGCTTATTCCCTTACATAACGTTTACCAGCTCAGAACACGACTGTCTATAGCTGTACTGAATATTTTAGCTTTCTCTGAAGAACTCTGTTGCTTGACTTCATTTCTTTTAAGGGAACCAAGCAAACAAACTTTAGTTCTAAAGCTAAAAAATAATAATAATTTAGAACTATAGTAATCAATGGTTAAACTACTAATATAAGTAGAGATGGCATGGATTGGACAGTTGAAAATACTCTTCTTATTTACTAGATTATGATGACATATAATTCATAAATCATCAGAAATAATGATCAGATCAGATATATCATATATATCATGATCATCAGAAATAAAAAGTATCACCCAGAAAACAAAGTGGCACTTCATTACCAAAGAAAAGACAACGCAAGTACACAAGTACAAAAAATAAGAGCGGTCTTCATTTTCATTTATCTGCTTCAGAAATGACAGAGACAACTAAACAAGGCATCGGCTGCACAACTGTTCATCTTCATACAAGGACAATTGCTGCACACAAGCTGCTGAACAAAAGCTACCAGAGGAACAGTCAGAGTGAACCTTTTGCAGGTACCAGCTCCCCTAAGAACACTTCTCAGATTGTGCTCAACATTTTAAATTAAAAGACAAAAACACAAATACAATTCACCCCACACGACACAACTTCGGGAAATAAAACAACAAAAAACCAGCCAACTAGCTGCTCATGCTACTGAAATGTTGATCATTTAAAGCACATTGATGCTTTAATACAAGAACTACGCAAAACAATTTGGCACATGTTTTGAAATGCAAGAAAGTATAAAACCTAAGATGAATATACTAATTTGCTTGCAACATCAGTTGTACTTTTCCCTCTCTTTTCACAATCCTACGCAGAAATTAAATTAAGCCACAGCAATTTCCTCTAGTTTCAGTTTTGAAAGTGTTGGTACATGTTTGCAGCTCTCTTCCAGAAAAAAAACAAGAACCAAAACCACTCACCATCACTCTGTCAACCAGCTCCTGAGTTACTCATAACTAGTTTTAATCTTTCAGTAAACAGAACCATTTCCCTATTCCTGCTTCAACCCAGTCCCATGAAGACTGGGTATGAAACCCAGCACAAAAAGGCACAGTCATATGTGCACTGACTCAGAATCACAGAATGGCCAGGGTTGGAAAGGACTTCAAGGATCATGAATCTCCAACACCCCCGGCACAGGCAGGGCCACCAACCTCCCCGTTTAATACTAGACCAGGCTGCACAGGGTCCCATCCAATCTGGTCTTGAACACCTCCAGGGACAGGGCATCCACAACCTCTCTGGGCAGCCTGTTCCAGCACCTCACCACTCTCTCTGTAATGAATTTCCCCCTGACATCCAACCTAAATCTTCCCTTCCTCAACTTAAAACCATTTCTCCTTGTCCTGCAGTTATCTACCCTTTCAAAGAGTTGATTCCCATCCTGTTTGTAGGCTCCCTTCAGGTACTGAAAGGCTACAACGAGGTCACCCCACAGCCTTCTTTTCTCCAGGCTGAACAAGCCCAGCTCCCTCAGCTTGTCTTTATAGGAGAGGTGCTTCAGTCCCCTGATCATCTTCATGGCTCTCCTCTGGACCCTCTCCCTGTCTTTCTTGTACTGGGGGCTCCACACCTGGACACAGCACTCCAGATGGGGCCTCATAAGGGCAGAGTAGAGGGGGACAATCACCTCCCTGTTCCTGCTGGCCACCCCTCTTCTGATGGAGCCCAGGATAACATTTGCTTTCCAAGCTTCCAACTCAAATAGCTGCATCAAGCTCCAGTCTCCCATCTCACCGAAGCCTCCACACTAACTCCCACTGTCAGCCCTTCCACTAAACAATTCTAACTGACCACAGTAAACCCGTCTGCCAAATCGTTCTTCTAATAAACAGTTTCCTGACTCAGTTCATGGCACAGTCAACAAGGATGTAGCAGGGACTTGAGCTGCTCAAACTTGCACAGACTTCAGAACAAGTGCCTGTGTTAGTACTCCTGAAGATTTTCACTGACTCATATAAGCTTTCCCTTCTCTCCACAAGCAGAGGACGAACATGATGGTAGCATTAATTCAACACTTCACAGCGATGGGTGACTGCCTTCACAGCACATTATGCATCCGTCTGCCATTTTTCCTCAAGATTTTTCACAGTGGTTCTGTTGTGTGGTTGCTCAAAGCCTTTATTTGTGCTACTTTTTCATGCTGACCACTATGCTGCTTCAAAGGATGCATGCTGCAAGAACCAAAGCCAAGCACGGCTCAAACAAGACGGCTCTCCTGGCATTGCTCTGTCCCTGAAGGAGTGAAAGTGCCCACCTGGTCTGCAACCAAGCATGAAGGGACTCTAAAGCCAGCTGTGAAATAAATTGAATTATGGGCAGAAGAGTATCTGGAGAAAGAGACAACCCAGAGTATGTGAACCAACTATTTTCTCATTAATATATAGTAAAATAATATCTAAAGACTCACACTACATGCAATCTAAGTTCCAGCTATTAAAAAATACAATTATGTAGCGTTTAGGACATCTGGAATGTAACATTTTCTGTCAGAGCTTTGCAAAATCTACCCCACTTTACAAACAATATAACACCCTTAGTCTCCCAAGACTTCCATGCCGTTAGTCAAGAATGTGCACACTGAAAAAAAACACTATATATACGCTACTATATCACTATATATTCAGCTTTCCGCCTGCCTTCTTCTAGAAAGTAGTATCATGAGAAATTGTGATTAAAAGGCTCTGCAGGAGAAGTATCTTCAGTACAATGTGCTCTTATGGAAGTAAATACCTAGTTTCAGTTCTTGAAATATTAGCAGTAAAACCACAAGGATATCACAGGGTGACCTCTGGGTGAAAAATGCTTTTACAGTCACCTGGTAAAATCCAGCTCTCAAAAGGAGACAGTAACAGAATACTTGTATCAAAAGGCTGACAAGTTAAGGATCAAGGAGCCAGCAAATAAGGTGAGTTCTCATGCACTTCAGCCCATTACGCTATCCAGTCCATTAATAAAGGAAAGCCGATGGCAACTTGTTATGCAACTAAAAAGTATTTAACATTAAAACATACACAGTGGCCAGAAAAGCCCACAGAAGCAAATGCAGCCTATAAAAAAGTAGCAGAGTACGAGTGACACTTACCAGGAACAGAAATAAGAGGGAAGCACAGAGAGATCAAAGGGAAAATAGACATATTCGGTCTTAAAATGACCCATGACACACATCAGTCCCAACTCCAGATGTCCTATGCTTCCATCCATGCTTCATCAGACATGCGTAACAATCATCTATACAATGTGACACAATTACGGAAGGAGTCCTTTCTGTCTGTATTATGACTAAACACGGCCAAGTGTATGCACAACCGTGCAAAGACAAAATACTAAGCTTTATTATCTTGTAACATTT